CCCCATCAGCCTAGTTGGGTGTCCCTGTGCTCTGCATTTTGTCCTAAGGAACATCTGTGGGTTTAGGGGTGAGGATCATTTTGGAGCTGATCCCTTGCTAAGGGAGAGCCAGGATTATAACAGAGGTGGTTCTCAGCAGGTGCTCTGGGCACCTGTTTAAAAGAACAGGCTGTGGGCCTTATTGGGAAGGAATGTTTCTTGTTCTTTGTCTGTTGCTCTTCAGGGTGGTGCACAGAGTGGTATTAGGGTCTGGAGGGGATGGGATGGGACCTGCTGAGATTCCTGGGAATCATGAACTTGAACTTAGCTGTCTTGAATGAACCAGACACACTTCTCTGGCACTCCCTGAAACCCGAGAGCTGGACAGCTGCAGGTTTTCCTGGTACTCTCTTTGTGTCCCACATCCTTTCTGGCGAGCGCTGAGGATGTGGCTCCCCACCAAATCTGAGCTGATCTCTTTCAAGGGAGGTGACATCCCAGAAATGGAGGGGGGACACCCTGGCTGAGCTCAGCTCAGAAATCAGGGGGGAACCAGAGCTGAGCTCAGCCCAGAGCTGGGCATGACCTCAGCTAAGCACAGCCCAGAGCTGGGGGGGGGCGTGCCCTTGCTGCCCTGGCTGCTGCAGGGCCCTTGGAGCAACCTGGTCTAGTGGAAGGTGTCCCTACCCATGCCAGGGGCGTTGGAACTGGATGAGCCTTAATGTCCCTTCTAACCGAAACCGTTCTGTGATTCTATCAGGAGAGGGACAAGGAAGGAGGAGGCTGCTCAAAACTTCTACTCCACAGGATCCCCTCTGGGCAGGAAGGCTTCTGTCCCCCCAGAACAGTCACGGTTGTTTTGGCAAGGAGGACAAAGAAGAAGGAAGCTGCTGGCTAGCCACCCCTTCTACCCTATAGGATCCCTTCCAGGCAGGAAGGCTCTCGTTCCCCAAGGACAGGAACTGTGTTTTTCATTATTTAAATGATTCCCTTCTTTCACTACTTTGCTAGACAAAGTAAACTGTAGATAGATGTTGGCAGCCAATTTTGTCCATACCTCAAAGCAATTCAGTAGGAATTGTCCCCAAGCCTTTCCAAACTTCTGTGAAATCCCAGCCATAAGCAGCTGTGAGCTGTGTTCATATAAAACAGTGAACCCTCTCTGTGCTTCTCACCTAACAAAAGGAACACACAGGAAAACGTGTATCTTAATAGTGTTAAAATCTGCTCCAAGCTGCAACTTTGGACTGAGCACATGCAGGAGAGATCAAACAGATACCGGATATATTCAGTATAATTCTCATTTCATGGAAACTGTTTCCTCCAGGAATACTCTGACACTCCTCCCAGGGATCTCCTAGAGTGTTTTGATCTCTGATTTCAGGACCTGAGATCCCAGGTGTCAGCCCCACACCACTCCCAGGATGCTACCTGAGGTGATTTTTCTCCTTTGGAAAAAATCCCAGCTCCAGAATCTATGAAAGGCTCACCCAAGGCATCTCGTGGAGTCTTTTGATCTATGGTTTTGGGACCTGTGATCCTGGGTGGCAACTCCAGCCTCCTCCAAGAAAGTTTCCTGAGATTATTTTTCTGGTTTGGGGAAATTTGTTTCCGTTCCTCAGAAATTGTAGCTCATGACACAAAAAGAGAGACACAAATGCAGACCAGTGTTTTCATGCTATAAAAAGAGCCATTCCATGACTCTCAGACTCCATGACTTTATGGCCGGGGTTGGAAGGTTTGTCTGCCAAAGCATCCTGCTCATTGGCTCGTCCTGTGCATCCTGGAGAGATCCAGGTAGGCCTTTTTGGCAGCTGGGCATTAGCAGAGCTTAAACTGGGGGCAAACTCAGCTGAGATACCCTGTGAGGTGCTGTATGCTCCTCTCTGCTGCCACGGGAGGGTTTTTCTGGGTTGAGGGTGATCCTAGGGGTGTGAGGGGGTGCCACGTGTACACAGGCCAACCAGTCCTGTTCCCCTGGGTCCCTGCAGTGCCCCCCAGCAATCCTGCCTCCGTGTGTGGATGCTGGCCAAGGCTGGGCTGCAAGTGAGGTAGTTGGTTATAAGCTTGCCTGGAGCTCCATGTCAAGCCCAGTGGTGTTCCTTCAGGACATAGCAGTGCTGAGGGGTCTCCTCTAAGCCTCTTGTGGCACAAGTTGCTTTCTTGTGGAATGTTCTCTGTTACTGGAGAGTAATGAGGGAGCTGGAGAAAGAGCTCGGTAGCTGCTTTGGATCACTGACCAGCAGTCCTGGTTAAGTGGAGAGACTTGCCAGTTGCTTGGAAATGAGCAAATGGAAGGCCCTCGTGCACGAAGGGTGGGAAGGATGATGTGGGGAACTACGGGCCTGGCAGCCTGCCCTCGGTACCAGGGAAGGTGGTGGAGCAGATGATCCTGAGTGCCGTCCCTGGGCATGTGCATCTCCTGGAGGGTGGGAAGGCTCTGCAGAGGGATCAGCCAGAGATGCTGGGGCGGGGTGGGTGTTGAGGGGTTCTGTGGGGATGTTTGGGAGGATTTGGTGTTGTTGGGAATGTTGGGGAGGGAGCTGTGTGGAAGGTGAGAGGCCTGGGCTGAAACTGGATCCAGTTTGAAGGCAGCCTCTGTGGTTTTGCAGAGCTTTGGTTATGGAGGGCAGAAGGAATATCTAGGACTCTTTCTGTCAGTGGTCCTGGTTGTCATCCAGGGCAGAAGAGGGGAGAGCTATACTTTACTGGCCACTTATCTACCTGTACTGGAGGGAGGATTAGTGTTTTTTGCAATATCCCTCTTTGTGTGAGGTGCTTTTGTAACACTGAGTGAACTTCCATTCCTTGAAAGCTTTTATACCTTAATGAAATTCTTATGGTATTAGCTCTTAACAGAAAAGTGTTTGAAAACCAAACAATATCCTACTTATTTATTTATTTTTTCCTCAGTTTAGTGTTTATTTTTTGCAGTTGACTCTCAATGGACCCTGTTAAGGCAAAGGAGTTGCTGGTTTGGGGTGGGAAGCAAACTTGCAAATCTTTAACCTTTCCAGTTTGTGCCAATGAACTTGGGAAGTTTGCAGCTTGATTTGACACTTCTTGTGTTGAGCAATGGAAAATAATGTGGATTCCTGGTTTCCTGAATTTAGGATTATCAAAGGCCAGATTCTTCTTTGCCTTCACAGAAAAGATGTTTTTGTGCTGCAGGTCATCACTTGCATGCAAAAATCATTCCTGGAGGAAGCAATAGCTTCTGCCTTCTGACAGCTGCCAAGCACTGCCACCAATTGCTCCAGCTGCCGCTCCCAACAGCCCCCTGCAAGAGCACAGACATCAGTGCTCATTGGCTTTGGCTGCCCTGTGGCAGAGAAGTCCCCCAGGGGCACAGCTCTGTGGGGCAGGAGACAGCCCTGCCAGGACTGGGGGCGGTGGCAGG